TTTTGGTATGTTATCATTTGCATGTTGCCATGAAGATGTAACTATGTTCTCACGAATATTTGGTGAATAAATCTCCATACTGTAACTCAAAGTATATATCATGTATCGTTCAAGTGTGGATGGGTGGTAGAAAGTTAAGAATTCAGATATTTAGAACATGGACTGATACAAATGAGTGGAGGCAGATGGTTAAGTCAACAAAGTTCTGCAGTCTCGTAGGAGTGACCTTGCTGGATTATATTCCCAAATAGAGGGCACTCTTCATAATCTAAAGATTTCACATCAGTTTCAAACTTTTTAACCAGTTGAACACCAAAATTTTCACAAAATAAACCTGCAAACTTTTGTTCAAAAACTTGTAAACAATAGGAAATTGTTGATTTGATACAAAGTTAACATTCTAGAGAATGCAAAAATGTGCACAAATTATTTTACTAAAATCTTCGTTTGGGAAGAACTATGTCATTCAGATAATTTCTCTTGAATTGTTTACTTTTCAGCTCAAAAAAACTGGACTCTCTTTTTGTTAGCAAACTGGTACAATGTGCAGAGAACAGATTAAACTGACAGTAAAAGACCTTAAATTTATAGAACGCTGATGCAGTCTTATTTTGCTGTCTAACATTATATTACTAACCCACCCCATCATATATGGCTGTGAAACATCTTAATATTGTTATCGTAACGGCATCACTAGAGTTAATATTTAACAATAAGTGCTTCAACATTAACATATGTGATAATTAATGACAAACCCCACAAACAACGCATTCCATTCAATATAATTTGAAATCTAAGGCATGTAGCGCCCTCCTGTGGCCAATGTATATCAGCAAGTTGACCATAGAGGGCAGTCTCGTGTAGCTGAAGGAATGCCATAATTTACGACAAAAATGTTCATGCAATATTTTTCTATTTCTATAAAATGTACATAATTTTCTTATCAACATTTTGGAAAATGTTATGCAGTTTATCTTTGTGAAAGGGGAAACAGTTGACTCTGGAGTTTGAAAAATTAAAACCTTTCAAAGAAGGTGGTCATCACACCACTTAAATGCAAGAAAATGAAGATTTGTGTTTATAAACTGATTTTCTCACAATGAATGTGCACTAAATATCCAAAATACCTACACTGACATCTTTAAGTCCTTCAATGCATTCCAATCGTTCCAGGAATGACTTTTGTAGCACCTTTTTTTTGTGTGTGTATGTGTTCGCAACAATCAAAGTTGTTATCTACGGTATGTTAATAGTGTAGCAATATCTCGCGTAGGTAATATCTCACATATTTACGGCACCACACCCACTGTCATTGAAGATAACAACTGCAGCGCTGGAAATGTTAACACACACACACACACACACATATCTTACCTAAGTTGTGACGAAGCACATTGAATTAACTTTTAATATAGTTGAATTAACTTTTATGTTTGGATTAAAATACAACTCTATATATTAAATAGAATTGAGATGAAATTGGACTTAAATTAAACTCAATTAAATTGCATTTTGATATAGAATTGCATATTAATTCAAGTTTAATCAAATAAAAATGCAACAAAGTAGAAATAAATTTATGCATTCTGTGACTTAACATAGAAAAGTTTATGAGACTTTAATGTTTGTGAAATTTAATGTACCATACCTTACCCCTTTACTAACCCTAAGCTACACAAAATGTATGCATAAGTTGAATTAACTATTAATATGTTATTAAGAGGATACTTCAAAGTATGCACAAAGACAGTACAGCGAGAGTATCGACCGACCGATTCGCAGGGGAGGTCGATGTGTACACCACACATCGTCCTCCGCTGCGAGTCGGTCGGTTGATACTGTCTGTGGTATCCTCGTAATAACCTTATTATTATACATCTTTGCCTTCCAAGGATACATCATGGGAATGCCGAAATCCAAAATGTTTAGAACAGAATCAGCAAACTCTTTTGTGTGGAGTCAAGTCAAACCCTAGTGGCAGCCATGTTTGTTTTTTATTAGTAGAGGACGCTAACGTGCGTAATCATTCTATATATTTCCTTATATGGTAGAATGAAAATACCCTGTAAAATACCGCAAAATACGGCATGCTGTAACTTATTGCGTTACGGTGACTGATGTATAATAATATAAATTATGAAAAATAGTGTTGTCACTTGGTAGGTTTGTAGTTGTTATAAGACACACACACAAAATAAATCTGATGTAAACACAATGTAACTTAGACATTTTGTTTTATTCTGAATTTCAAATCAATATAATTTGTAAACTTGGAAATTTCCTCTCATAACATTTTTCAAATTGATTTCTCTTTAATCGGCATGCTGCTAAATTTCTTTCTTTGAAAGAGGAGTCTGATCTATGGTAAGGTACAATCCCACAATGCAATGTAAGACCTCTGTTCCAAAAAAAATGTCTGTAGTCGTGTCTATGGTAAGGTGTCACAATGCATTGTGGAAGAAAAGACCTGTGGTCCAAAGATATGTTTAAGGTATAAAAATAAAGACTTTTTAAAAGGTCAGTTCCAGAACCAAAATGTCATTTAGTGGTTTAAACACTTTTAAATTAGCAAAATATTCTACCGAAGTCCTGAGGTGCCACCAGTGTCTCTGATGCATTATTATACTAACTTTGCATCACAAGTTGTGATATACACAGATAGAAAGTGCAAAAATTTCATTAGTTTTTTTGTGAGGCTTTTCAAGATTTTAGAAAGAATACAAGCAAAGCAAAGCACACCATATATGAAACCAGTACGCCCTCTAACAAGATTGATTTGTAGGGATCTTAGGTCAAAATGGAACCCCCCAAATTCTAGTTTGGGGAGCTTGTTGACTGCTGGGAAAAAGAGGTCTCAAAAAAAAATCTATTAAGATTGTATGTGGCTGGAGGTTTATACTGAACTGTTGTGACACCTGATTTTGTTTGTTTTTTTATTCTTATTTTGTTTGTAAAATGTGACTTTTTCAGGAAATATTTGTCAATTCATGAATTTTGTGTTATGCATCAATGACGCTACAGGGAATAAGCATAACAAGTTGCATCACTAGAAATCTGTGCACATCAATGATATATCATATCAATGGGAGGGCACACTTTATGGGGCGGAATTGAGCTTATTACTGTAACACACATGATACAAAACATTAGAGTTACCATGGTTGTCAGGACGGATATACTATAGAAAATATCAAATATGCACTTTAACACCAAAAAAACAAATGGGTGGTGTGGGTCATGATTACAGGCGAGTTGCAGATATTAAGATGTCAAATAAAAATTTAACCCGCAAAGAAATATCAAATTGTTCGGATCATAAAGATGCAGTTGCATGTATATAGCTGCTGTTGAAAATTCTTCTATTGGAATGTTGCTGTTTAGTTTCTGAAACAATATGTTGGTAACAGAAAAGCTTTGTGTTTTAGTAATGTACACGTAATACAGTGAAGGGCAGAAAGCTGGGGTCATTAAAAACATTTCATAAATATCGGTATACATTTTTATAAATTGAAATGGACGTTAGAATTCAAATTGACCAATCTAGAAATATTGTGACATCTTTGGTTTTAATTAATGAGTTAGTTCAACATTACCCAATTAGCAAGTCAATCACTATTGATGATCAGTATTTACAAAGTTTTATAAATATGTTTTTAAACAAAGCCCCAGCTTTCTGCCCTTCACTGTATTAGCAAAACTGTACAATTTATATTTACAATGATTTGGCAAAAAATACCATGAATAGTAAATTTACAACATCTATCAATAATATTATACAAACTTTTGCAAAAAACACAAAAACAAGTGAAATTAATATTATACACAATCCATGTACATAGCAAACAGACTCAGCTCATATCATATAAATATTTAAGTATGGCAATACAAATATTTATACGTAATTTTTTACAAAGTTTATTCTTTCAACTACAAAATTTCAATTAAAAAAAAACTTGCACTTTTAAAAAAATGAAGCTGTATAATATTATATTATGTCTTATTTGTTTAAAACCTGTTTGTTTTAGATCTGTTTGTGTGGTCCGATAAATAAATTATAAAGTTATAAGTTCCAAAACATTAAAATTAAAAACATTATTTTCTGTTTATTTAATAAGTTCCTGTCATCAGCCAATGTCCTTTAAGATGTTGTACATTTCCATCACCATGGAAACGTGTACTTTGTCTTAGTTGGTTGTGCTGTAATTTTTATATTTATTTATAACGATATTGTTATGTGAGCTTTATTTAAAATGTTGTGTTCATTCTCAACATTTCAAAGTCGATAAAATATCTCTGCTAGTTTTCCAATTGAATGTGTTAGGATTTTCATAATCCACTCACAAACCAGTCACTCAAAAACATTGTCATGTCAACCCATTAGTCAATCAAAAACACCGTTGTTTACTGCACCTCGATACAAATTTTAAGTAATATAGCATTCTTGAATAAAAAAACGAAAGTACTTTCAAGCATTGCTTATGAGGGCACTTGACACTTCTTGAGTTGCTTGTCTATTTGACATCAGGATCCGAATAACCACATCCAATCCAATTGCAGGGATATCGAAAATTCTGTTTTTCCAGTGTCACACTCCATTTCGACTGACATCACGGCGTATCTTTAATCTTCATCGTAAATGTGAAGTCCTAAGAATACGGTTTAGTGTTCACAGCGCATTTACTAACTCTGACAACATATGAGAATAGTTTTGTTCCACGGTCAAAGATGGTAACGTGAGACTCTTGTCTCCTTCTCTGAGAGAAACCATCGATAATTGATGTGTTGCTACACTGCTGTGTTTCATGTTCTCCAACGACAACATTGGCAGAAGTCCCTCTGTGATATTTTCAATCATGTATGGGTCCTCTCCTTGTAAAGGCCCTTTGTTCTCAACTGTTTGTACTCGTTTCGGTCTGTAAACAACAACAACAACCAAAATCAACTTAATCTAAAATTACCTTAGAAACATGCGCGCTCTGGTGTAAAAATAGGTGATTTCGCTACGTAAACATTAGATAGCTCATCAGAATGCCACGAACCAGGGAAAACCAGGGAATAAATTTCGTGAGCTAGAAATCAATCTTCATTCTCGTAATGAAACGAACTGATGGCGCTATACCTTGAAATTTGCCTCATCATTATAAACCAATACCACACTTGATTGGCCTGAGCTGACCTTTGACCTAATAAGGACAAGGTACTACCCAATCAGGAAGTAATATTGAAATATCAATCAAAACAAATGTTTTTAATTTTGTTGAATTATCATATTTTTTAAGTTAAGATCAAAATTAGAAATTATTCGCAGACACAGAAGTTAGTGATTCGGCAGAGATCTATTTTTAATAAGACAACAAAACATAGGATTGGCAGATGAAAAGGCACACCCAAGTTCGTTAAATAACATGCAATATCTGATTGATCAAAATATCTAGGAAAGCCCACCTAAGTTTGTCAACAAAAACACAACTGAGATGTCACCCATATAGTACTGCTATGTTTCAATATTATGACTTTAAACTGTTAAAGGTTGTCATGGTAACTTACCGTCCTCTTTTAATAATCTTCTTTTTTTTCTCATTTTCGATTCCATCAAATAATGTCACTAATAAATCTGTTTCAGCCGTTGACGCTGTAAAAATGCGAGGAGGTGGCCTTGGACATAATGGTGGCCTAATCCTTAATTTCTCTTTAGTTTCTTTCTCCTTTGAATCTTTTATCTCTCGCTCTTTTGTATCCTTCATCTCCCGTTCCTTCGCATCTTTTATTTCTCGCTCTTTCGCATCTTTTATCTCCCGTTCTTTTGCATCTTTAATTTCTTTTGCTTCTTTTAAATCTTTTGCTTCCTTAATTTCCTTCTCTTTCGTTTCTCGTAGTTTTTCTTCTTTCTCTTCTTTAGTTTCATCCGGCGGTGTTACTGGTCGAACATCTAACAAACAAGAACATTGATTCAATTAGGAGGACGTCTTTGAATCAGAATAAACATACATTACAACCGACAGAGAGGAGTCAGCACTTGAGAGTTATCAAGTCATTATACACTCCAATTATGGTGCTGGATGATTAACTAAATACTAAGAGCTTTTAGCGGTAATGCGACAAAATCAAATTACACACACATATATATATATATATAGTCCTATGGAGAAAGAAAACAGATTATTTGAAAGAGCATGATATAGATCTTATACACATGGAGATTAGGAAACTAAATCTCTGCTTCAATACTGATGCCTTTGTTTGAGATTTAATCTTTTGAATGCCAATGTCAACTTTTAACAAATAAACATCAAAATAAACTAGTTGTTCCAGATTTGTCCAAAAATTCTGTATACGCAATGGAAAATTACAATTATTTAGGAAATTAAACATAATAAAACTTCACAAGTTTGATGACAGAGACTCAAACTGAAATCAAAGGTCACCTGGTCTGTGAATACACATTGCATTGCATTGCCACAGCAAATGAAGATAATGCTGTCTCTAAATGTAAATATTTTAAATTTGCCATCAGCAATGAAGATTGGTGAAAATTGTGTTAACACAGATAAAGACAATGTAGTGTCCTAGCCAGGTAACATATTTGACTGGTACAGGTGGTCAGATCTTACTGTGATTACAGTAAATTAGTTAGCACCCTAGGTACGACATCCTACTGCACTGAACTCCTTAAGCTGAGTTAAAATCAGCATGGCGTCTATATTGCTGAACTACCTTAGCTTAAATTAAATTTATATGGATTTGACACTTGAGGTGGCTGATAAGCAGTGTCAAAAACGTGCACAAAATGATCATTCTGTGCACGTTTTTGACACGGATTAAAAACCAGTTGTAAGGAGATATTTTCATATGTCATATTTCATCGAACTCCCTAAGCTGAAGTAAAATCAGTATGGCTTCCATATTGCACTGCACTCCCTAAGCTGAGGTTAAATCAGTATGGTATTCATATTTCAATGAGCCCCCTAAGCTGTAGTGAAATCATAGATCTGAAGATAGATCAATAAAATTTTACAAAACCTTTTGGAACTGCTTTTTTTTTTATTTCAATTGATTTTCTGATAAAAATATCACCAATGCTTTATATTGGGATTACGGAACTATTATGTGAAATATTGAATGGTATAAATATCTGTGATATT